ACTTTAGAATTGTAATGTTTCAAATATACAATATAATTATTTTCACTTTACTGACAACTTATCAACAGCTAAAGTAGCCAAGCCACAATAAATTTTGTTATGCTCTGATTTAATATAATTAACTTTTTTCATTTTAATTTATAAATTTTCTGCAAAGTTTTATTGAATTAAATATTTATCCAGTAAAATCACTAACACAAAACACATATAATAAAATATTGAAATAAATAATATTCTTTTTAATTATATAGAAAAATTAAAAATTAAAAGAAACAGAAGAAAAATAATATATTAAGTCAATAATTTTAAGAAAATAACTTTTACAGAAAAAACATAAACTCATTAAGCAAGATTTAATTAAATGTTTATTAAATAGATTTAATATATTATTAAAAATAAATAATAAATCTTCTATAACTCTAATAAATAATCATTTCTTTGATTGACAAAGAATACACTTTTTCTATAATCTTTACATTTATGCAACATTTATTTTTAATTGTTTTTTATTGTTATGAATATTGTGAAACTGCATTTCATATTTTGAAATATTAGTGAAAAATCTTAAAATTTTCTATTTCTAAGTAATTTTATTATTTTTATTATTAAGTTGGTCTAAAATTTGTTGTTAATCTAACAACATAATTTGGCCTAAAGGTAGCCTAACAACCTACCTTGACACTAAATTCCATTCTTTAATTGGCNAAGAGTAACAAACTTGACAGCATTTATTTATTCGTTCATCATTTAATCAAATATATTTTTTTTTGCTAATAAAGATTGAGAATCATTTATCTGAAATGCTTGGAATTGGAAGTATTATTTTTATTATTAAGTTGGTCTAAAATTTGTTGTTAATCTAACAACATAATTTGGCCTAAAGGTAGCCTAACAACCTACCTTGACACTAAATTCCATTCTTTAATTGGCTTAGCACAAAGATCGAAAATAATCCAGCAATTTATAATTCCAACTGACTATGGAATTCAGACTTTGTTTATATTGTATATTCTATTATTCATTTTTTGTTCTATTTTTGTTTTCATGATAAAAACAGATAAAGACTCAGAAATTTCTATAAAACTCAGTACCATGCCTGACTATTAAATAAACAAAATAAAAAGTAACTATTTTTAAAGAAAACCAAATTAAACAGAAAGCATAAAAAATTTTCTCTACTAAAGAAAGTCTGGTTTCTTTAGAAAGTAAAGACTTTAATATCCATATAGGAAAATTTATTGTTTTTACATATTGATGTTTATGAAAATATCTATAATTTTTTCAAAATGATGCATATATTTTAAAAACTAAGGCTTAAGATACTTAAAATATAACATAATAATGCAAAAGTTATGCATTAAAATAAAAATTATTATAAAGCACAAGACAAAATGTTTCGAAGATCTCTGATGACACAGTCATAGTTCTTACTCAAAAGCAAAATAAAAAAGATTTAATCTCTAACTAATGAATGATTTTTATGTAGATCAGTATAGATTATCAGCACAAAACCTTTCTCACTAATTTCTAGCCTTATTAACTGGAGTACAAACGTTTTCGGCCTTCTTAATAGGCCTTCCTCGGGTTAAGAAGGCCGAAAACGTTTGTACTCCAGTTAATAAGGCTAGAAATTAGTGAGAAAGGTTTTGTGCTGATAATCTTAGAAATAGTTCTAGCTACATATGCATAGTAGATCAGTATAAAATGAAAAACAAAAAATATATTATATTTAAAAAGCTATAAATAAAAATTTTTGATTTTATTTCACATTGTTCATCATTTTAAAATATTATTTTCCAACAAAAGTTGCTCTGTTTATATTTTTAAAATATTTCCTAAATACTGTACTTGTGTATCACATCTTTTCATATGTTTGTTTATTGTATTATGTTTGATCTCATCTCTGCTTGACACATTTCACTTTTTTGTATTTCATCATTTTTTTTGTATGTCATTAGCTTCATTTTCAAAGATTAATTATTTTTAATGTTATATGTTTTAATTATTTGGTAAACAACTAGATGTTTTTTGAAGAAGCAAATAAATTATATTTAAATACCATGACATTTAAATATACATAACAGGAATTTAATTTTATCCAATCAAATTCATGTTTAAATAAATGTATTCCTTTGTAAATTTTTCATCCAATGGAGATTATTATTATTAACAAAAATAATTTTTTGTTAATAATAAGACTGTCTGCCCAAAAGGGGCCACCATTTATTTTTTCACAGACTTCACATTCACGGCGACAGACCTTCCTTTATAGGCTACATGCCGCCAAAATTTAAAAACAGTCCTTTAAAAAACACAATTACATCCAATTAAATAAATTTTTTTTAAAAAGGAACTGGTGTTATACAGACGTCTTGCTTTCCATTCTTCTTATGGGATGTTTCTGCTTTTATCTACTGGAACAAGTGCTGGAAAATGCAGATTTAGGAAACTTTCCCCTGGTGACAGAACACAAAAAATAAATGGTGGCCCCTTTTGGGCAGACAGTCTTTAATTTTTTGTTAATTATAATAATCTCCATTGGACAAAAAATTTACAAAAGAAAAAATTGGAATGTATCGTCACCAGGGGGAAGTTTCCTAAATCTGCATTTTCCAGTGCTTGTTCCAGTAGATAAAAACAGAAACACCCCATAGGAAGAATGGAAAGCAAGATGTCTGTATAACACCAATTCCGTTTTTAAAAAAATTTTTTTAATTGGATGTAATTGTGTTTTTTAAAGGACTGTTTTTAAATTCTGGCAACATGTAGCCTATAAAGGAAGGTCTGTCACCGTGAATGTGAAGTCTGTAACACAATAAATAAATGGTGGCCCCTTTTGGACAAACAGTCTTTAATTTTTTGTTAATAAATGTATTCCTATAAATTTTGAATAATGTGTTTTTGCATATTGACAACATGGCACTTTAAATAAGAGAGACAAACATGCTGCTAATCTTGGGGAAGTCAGAATTCCAATTTAAGTTATAATGACAAATTAATTATGTATTGTAATATCATAATCCTTCTTATATAGAAGAAATTCATTTTCATAGCTAATTGCCAGTACTGTGAACAATATTTTATTTTTCTGCAGGCAATATTTAGTGGGGTCAGGAGTTGTACTGTACATGTTAATTGTATTGGACTGTGAAATATTTACTTTGAATAGGTAAGGTAAAGCTCATCTATATAAGCAGATAAGGTAACCTTAGTACCATTGGGTAAAGTTACTAATGGATGTATTCACCACAAAAAGTTAATAGTCAAACTTGAAGTTAACAAAGTACAGCTCACTTATTTAAAGTAAAATAAATGCTAAATGATTCACTTTAACTTTAACTACCAATTCTTTGTTGGTGAATAAAGCCATAAGAGTAACAAACTTGACAGCATTTATTTATTCGTTCATCATTTAATCAAATATATTTTTTTTTGCTAATAAAGATTGAGAATCATTTATCTGAAATGCTTGGAACTGGAAGTGTTTGAGATTTTGGAATATATTATTTATATATTTGATTCTGACATTAATCAATATCACACCTTCCTTACATCTTCTATCAATACTTTATTATAAACAAACATTTTCAGCTTAGTTTATAGACCCATACTAGGCCAAATGTTAGGATAAATTCCAGCTTTGAGCAAAACATTTGCATCTGATTTTATTTGGTATATACAGTATTAGTCTCACTTGACTTCTTTTTTTATGTCCTTTAAAAATAATTTTTATTAATTTTGAGTAAAACAAAAAGTTTTCATCCATCTGTGTGAATACATTGGTTTAAAACTTACTGTAGATGTGTAAAAATATTTTTAAAAATATTCACACAGTCGTGTTAATTAATTTATTTAAAAGAACTCATATTTGTTTAAATGTTGCATGTTTTCTGGTAAATATAAGTTATGAAAAAAGTTGGAATCAAAACATACTCAGGAAATAATATATATATACTAATATATATATTACTTCTAATGTTTATCAGTAGGGCAACCATAAAAATTATCTATCATAAAACAGCATTGAAATATAGCATTAATTATCTTAGAAATTTGGATACTAGTTAACACCAAAGTAAATCAGAATACCAGTTTACATCAGATGTGAAAAAGGTAATTTCTGGTCTCCCTTATTTAAATAAGTATGCCACTCAATATTCTTGCTTCTTTTTAAATGGCAAACTTTACAAATTAAAATAATGAACAAAATAATATTTAATTATGATTATTTTCTTTTCGTTTCTGTATAATTATATTTTTTTACATTATAAAATTTGTCTAAACAATAAGCAAGAATGCTTAAAAGCATTTACAAGTATATTTATTTAAATATGAATTTAACTCCAATAAAAGCATTTTTGTCAAACATATTCAATCATTGTTTAAAGCTTAAAAATTTTGAAATTATGTATATTTTAATTTCTTAAAATTTTAAATTTAATTGTAACATAAAATTTTAACAGAGCAATTTTTATTGACAAAGATAAATATATATTAATTATAAAAAATGCTGTAAAGAATTTATTTAATATTAAAAAATTCAAATAATTTTAATAAATATAATTAGAAATTTATCAAGTATGTGTCATACATCAACTTTTACAATGTTGATGTACATGAAAAGAATTGATTAATACAAATATCTTACTAAACTGAACATTTATAGTATTATAAGTGAAATTTCAATATTGCTATTACTACACATTGTAATGCATTTGATAATACAAAAGAAGGCAAAACATTTATCATAAAGTTTATAATAAATTTATTATACATATATCAAATTTATAACTATTTCATTATGTGTTGACTTTGTGTTGTTATATGGAATGACATGTCCTTTATCTAACGAAGAATGCATTTTATATTTTCATTAATATTAGAGGTGCATAAATAAAATAGTATAAGTGAAGGTAGAAAAAAATGTGCAAAAACATTCGAAATAGGAGAAACAAACAATTTCAAAAACATAATTTGTGCTTTTCCATAATGGTAGTTACCTCTGCCACTTTCTCTACTTTGACGTCCTGCAGCTTGATCTATAATTTCATTCAAAACCATCACATCTGAAAAATTAATACAATATTTAAGTTTAATAAAATCTTTAATACAAATAATATATCAATATATATATTATTATTATTATAAACAAAATACAGTTAAATTGCTACCATACCAAATTATCTAAACTTTTAATAATTAATTAATGTTTGTTTGCTATATACTCCTACGCAATTTTACCAATTGCTACAAAACTCAGCAGTTACATTTAAATACTTATAACTTAAATAATGTTGTACATTCCATCCCAAAATATCAATTGAATTCTTGTAAATCACTTAATTTCTATCTAAATTTGATTCACTAATTTACACATAGCTCTATCTATTGGAAACAAATTTAACAAAATAAAGTTGACCCCCCATAACATGGGTTCCTATAGTTTGTATTCCTATATCATGGCGAAAAAATTGTGACAGTATTCGTACAAACATGCTAAAAAAACTCGTATAATTCGGTAAAACGTCATCGCCAACTTGTGTTGCAACAGGATTGGTCGAATCTAGACCAATAGCGGATATTGTACAGTACAAACTGTTGAGTTTAAACAAGCAGCTAAAATACTAAAAACCATTTATTATTTAACGTCCATAAAAATTATATTTGTATTAATGACGTCTCCAAAGTTAAGCGAATTTTTTGCAAAAAAAATAATTTATCAGGAAGCACGCGAGCGCCATTCAATGACAATCTCCACGATGAAAACAAGCTTAAACAATGGTGTCGTCAAACAGTGCACACTCGGCAAGTAATCTTATGATTTTTTGTTTATAGCATAGTTTATATGGATTATTCCCAAAAAATTATACATATTTTGTAAATGTTGAGTCAAATTAGTCTAGAATCGATTAATTTTATGGAAAAAACCTTTCAAACAGCCATAGTCCATAAACTGCATACGTGCCAAGCTGTGATTGGCTTATGTATTCAAGGACTCTTAGAACAACAATTTCATAAAGAACAGAACGTATCTACCGTGTTATAAGGGGGTCAACTGTAATAAACTAAATATAATTCTTATAAGAAGAAGATATAATTTTGATATATATATATATATATATATATATATTATATTCACTTAATTATTGTGACAATGATATAACATGAAAAAGATGTGCTATTCATTACTGCTACAGGTAGCACAAACACTTGCCTGCATGAATCAAAAGTGTTACTCTGTAAAAAGTCTGTAAGCATTTAATTTCAATATCTAATGACTAAGGTTTTTTCATTTCTGAATGGTACTTTCTTAATTTTACTAAGCAGCTTTCAGTAGCTGAGTGCATAAAACCACTGAACACTGGTAGTTAGTTAGTTGTAGGGTCAAGCAAGGCCAACAGGCTGGCCACGTAAAGTTTTTTGGTCCAGCTTCACACATCTATCTTTTCTTGCTTAAGTTCATTTCCCAATGAAAACAAATCAAATAATAGACATTACCATTTTTTACCTCTTTTTTAACATTGTATGTTTGCACATCCCAAGATCTATCAGAATAGTGCTGTTTGTAACAAACATATTTAGGGTTTATTCCGATTACTTTCATTTCAGATAATTTAAAATTGATTTTTACTAAATGTGTAAATGAATTGCAAGTTTTCAATTACCAAGTTTAAATATTGGCTCCCTTTCATGGTCGAATGAGTGTTGCCAGCTAAAACATGTAAAAATAATATTAAAGTAGCCAACACATAGCCAAATATTGTAGTGCCACATCACTAGCGGACATTTGAAATTTGCCGACCAGGACGGTCGGTTAATCGAGCCTCTACTCTAATTAGCCTCTTTCCTCCCTCTGGCAGCAAATTATTATCAAAATTTAAATTTAAAATTTAATTATTATTAAAATTTTAAATTTTAAAAATATAAAAAACTACATCTTTTTTATTTTTTAAAGAAAATTTCATCATCCAGCGAAAATATAAATTAAAAAAATTTTGATAATAATTTGTCGCCAGAGGGAGGAAAGAGGATAATCTACATTAAACAGTGCAAATTTCCAGTAGATATAAAGATCTGAAACTCATAAAAAGGAGAAGGATGAAAAAAACAAAGACATCATAAGGTCATCAAATGCAATTTTAAAAAAATTATTACTTTTTAATTGGTTTGTTTCTATGTTTTAAAGAACTTTTTCCAGGATGGCCACATAGCCTAAAAACAAAGGTAGAGTCATCTGGCGTTTTTACTAAGAAACATTTAAAAGAAATATGATTAAAATTTAACCCAAGTTTTTGGAAACGATGACATCTTTTTTATTTTTTAAAAAAACCAGTACAGATGACTCATACTCTCCAGGGGTTTATGCAGTACCTCTTCACGATGACAGAGTTAGCTGCTCATTAACATACATTGGAGCAAAGGCAAGAGATCACGCCATGAGGATGAAGGAACATGAATATTCCATACGAAAAAAGCTGATAATTACAGCATTAGCAACATACACACGAAACGAGGACATCCAGGTTGAACTACATAATGCAAAATTGTTACACAGGGTGTCGGATAAAGCACAACTCAAATACCTCAAAGCATTTGAGATCTATTGTGCAATTAAACAGGGAATCTTTATTAACTTCAAGGAAATGGACACGCTATTTACAGCATGGCGTGCCATTTTTGAACTAGATTAATGCAAGTTTCTGTTGACAGAATGATAGTTTAAATTACAGAAGATATTTATGTCATAGTAATTAAGGCGAAATTAATAGATTATTTATTTGTTTATTGTTTAAATAACATACATATTTTGAAATTATATCCTGTACATAACATATAAATTTTAACGCGATGTATTCTAATTTATAATCAGTTTAAATTTTTAAAAAACATTCTATTTTTACTAGCTGTTTGTTTGATATTGTTTGTACCTGAGGATGTCTATTTCACATAGATGAAAACATTAGTAAATTTTTTGTTTTCTTTTCATATGCTGGTGTTGGTTTTGTGAGTAGTGTATTTACACAAACCCAGTTTTTGAGATATATCTAAACATTTTAGCATTATCATAATATTATTATAAATGCAATACAATTCAAAAACTTATAGTGAAAAATAATTTAAAAAGTTTCTCATACCTTTCATATCCAATTCTGTTTGTCTTTGTGGATCCATGAATGGACTATCATATGGCTTTTGTTTTATACCATATTCCACATCATCCAAAGAATCCTATTCAAAGTTTAAAGTGGTGATATAGATTACATTTATTAATCAAGATTTTAGTAGAACAAATTTTAAGTTAAAACAATGAAGAAAATAGATTCATGCTATTTTAAAATGCAAGCATAAACTTAGGAAAATTACAAATATAAAAGATAATATAACCTTAAAGAAATAGATTTACTAAAAAACAAATCTCAAAAATTATATACAACTCCTGTCAACACAGATACTGCTGAAAAATGTAATTTTATTACAATTAGTAATGATTAATAACAATACCAGACATTGAATTTATGTTAAAGAATATAAAATTAATCTGACAAGCATAAGTATAAAAATATTTTTATATAAATGTATAAATATATTCTATGAAAACATATTAAAAACTTACAGATGTATATTAACTTTTTATTTAAATTAAAGATTTAGAAATTACAATGATAAATTGTTTTATATTAAAATAATTAAATTATAAAATTTATATTAAAAAAATAATAAAATTTTGTGATTAAATATTATTAATTTCTTTTGTGAGAAAACAAAGTTTCTAATATTCTTTTTAAATTTGTAATATTGACGTCTAATCACTTTACATTTAATGGAAGAGATATCTTAATAAATTTTATTATATATTAGGCATTTCCTAACTATTGCTTGTCATGGTTTAAAATTAATATTTATAGTATACAGTCGTAGTTATCCCATCAGGCCATTCATTCAAATGTTTTTCAGAATTTCTCTGCACGGCAGTTGCAACAGAATCTCTGTTGCTACCTCCAATGTAACTCTGCTCTTATGATGTTTTCTACAGATTTCTGCTACATGCAGTTGTTTGAGACACACGACAAACATGCATCACAATACAGTTATAACATGCATGCTATACACCAGCTAAGCCACAACATCAAGTAGATCTTACAGGAAAACAATACAGTATTATGCTTATATTAAATAAGTTTACTATTAGTTAATTTAATATATTTATGTTAAACTTTTAATATATTTTATTGGAATATATTTTATTTCTTTTTATTGAAAGATTTCTGTTATATTATTAAAAACATGTCTTAATAAATAAAAATTAAATTCAAATAATTAATTTTTAAAAAATAATAAATTGCTTCTCACAACTCATTAAGAGACTTAAAAATGATAAGATAGCATTCAAAATTGATATTTACAATAAAATCAAATATTCATTTTCCTACTGAAAATGAAAAAATTATTATAAAACTAAAATAAAACTAAAAATAAAACTAATTTTTAAAACTCCTTTTCATTTACAAGTTAATTTAGTTTATTAAAATACTGTATTCTGAACAAAGCAAAAACACACTAAGATAAGCCTAAGATAAATACTCACAGAGACCTTCCATACTGGATCCAGCAGGACTGTTTATTTGGAAAAAACAAATATTTTCGATCACTTTAAGAGATCTTTGTCAAGTTATTTTGCATTTCCATAAATCAAATGCTATTACCTGAACAACATAAAAAAGGAAAATTCTATATACAAAGTAACTATATTCAAATTTAAAAAGAATGAAACTGCTTTGGCCCAATTTGCAAGTGAGTCCAGGATGTCCTTGTGTCAAGTCTAAGCTTTTACACACTACCTTCAATATGCAACATCTAAGAATTGCAGAAGCTATCAAAATTTATAAAGCAGTACTCAAGGGAAGTTGCATTAATAGTAAAGAAAATATTAACCTATCATAAGTGTGGCAAGAGTTACGGGAAGATCTGGCAACACCAGAGAGAGAGGGACGTGCAAGACAGACGGACCTGACTAAAGTATAAGAGTGGAGATCGCCCGGTCCAAGTAGGATCCTGAATAAAGCATTCAGAGTAAGTGTCTGTATTCCTGTCTCACGGGCATGGGAGTAGCCAGGAAGGGACATGGGTGGGCATGGCCCCCCCAGTTAACCTGGTGCCCTCCCCAGAAAATTACAGCCGAAAAAGTGTTGAGCCAATTTGCAAAAAGAAATAAAAAGTTGAAGCTAATTTAATTCGGTGTAGTGTACCATGGCCCGCAATTAATTTCTGAATATTGGACTGAACTTCAAATAATTGCTTGAATGGATCCGCGATACTTCCTTATATCCTCACAATGTGAAGTGATAGGGTAGTTGAGAAATTCTGACCCCTAAGAAAAAAAGGTCAATGGCTTTCTGTGCCTAATGTGAAAAGTGTATCTGTAATCTCTATGTACAGTTTAGTCTCTATGGAGTGACGCCACAATAGGTTCTTGCATCACCCTGAAAATCTTGATAGGGCCGCCTCTGGTTCGGGCAGTGAAAAAAGTTTTCTTTCCAATTCAGCCCGGAGAAAAAAACTGTTGGCCACCCCTGGTCTATATCTAGATTAAAGATAGTGAACTATATTAAAGAATGGTAAAAAAAAATAATTGATTGGTTAATTTTTGTTTAAGGCATTGCCAGAGTTTGATATTAATGTTACGAGAACATATGATTAAAGAAGTTTCATATTTTATGTTTGTTAAGTTATTGTCGATTATTATGGAAATTTCATTTTAATGAACAATAATTTCAAATAATTCAATTTTGTGTCAGGTTGGCCTCTACTAGGCCCCCATAACAAAACTCTGGCTACGCCAATGCTCGCAGGGGGTCTTAAATGCGTCACGAAGGGCATATAAACACTAAATAAACCACATAAAACAAAAAGCAATGATATATTACCTCTGACTGATAATTTAATATAATTTAAGAATTTTTTATGTCATATTTCATCATTACATACATTACATTTTAGTTTTTTGAATTTAAATATTGTCACGTTGCATGTAGAATGTTCCTTTTTTAAATAGTTGTTCAAGTAATATTGTTTGATTTTTGTAAACATGATAACTGGATGAATATCACTGAAAGTGATTAAAAATATTCGTATTTTTTCAAAATGAATGGACCTACTAGAACCAGTACAGGTGTCTGCAAGAGTTTATATTATTTTCCAGCTTTTGCAATGTTTCATTAAGATAAATTTAAGTATCAAAACTAGAAAAATAGAAAAAATATGCTTCCAAAATTTTGAATTCCAATATTGTGCTTCTTTCATTCTGCAATAATAATAATAAAACAATAATAATCAAAGCCAAATGATTGACATAATGAATTGGTTATTTTTTTTGTTAATATTAATAATTAAAGTCTAAGTAATTTGGTACTAGAAGTAGGTGTTAGATGCCATTTCTTATTAAATTTAATAATTGCAATTAAATTAATATTTATTGAATAATTTAGAATATTCTGGAGAAAATGAATCGACCTACAGCAGACTTGAACTTGCAACTCCTATTTACCATGGGGATGCATTGCCAGTTATGCTATCCGGATCCCCATGCAACTCTTCACATTCAAACATAATTTTAGATATAACCATTCACAGTTACTCAAAAATAGCCTGATTAATTACACCATTGTTTGGCTTTGAGATGTTTATATGTATATATATACACAATACTGGGGTAAAGTGATAGCTGACTGAGTGCCACAGTAGGTGATTATAGGCTGTGGGCATAGGAGTTATCTCCAGTTGGAGCTATGAGTAACTGTGGATGGTTATATCTAAATTAAATATGTCTGGAAGTGAAGATTTGTACAGAGGTCCTGGTTGCATAACTGGCAATGCAGCTACACAGTAAGTGGGTGTTTCAGGTTCATGTCCCACTCTGAGCAAATGTTTTTCTTCAAGAATATTCTCAATTATTCAATAAGTATCAATTTAATCATATTTAATAAGTGATGGCATCTAAAACCTATCTTTAATACCAAATTACTGAAAATTTAATTATTAATAGTAGTGGAAAATATAGCATGTTTCATTACAGTGATCATTTGGCTTTGATTACAAAGTAAACAAAATGCTATGTCTTTTTGTAGAAATTGTATATCTTTAAGATACATGTAACCCTACTTGATAAAGTTGTAAGAATACATAATGCTAACAACTAAGTCTTTAAAAGATATATGATTTAAGAGAAATTATTACCAAAAGACACCTTAAGAACTTGCAGCCAAAGTTTATTACTTCTGAATTATGCATCCTTATATCTAAAGCTATGTATTTATGTGTGATGATCAGGGGTAATAACTCTCTGTACTTATTATTTTTAGATATTTCTGTAATTTTTATGATTTTATACTTCCGTTGCTATGTTAAAGATGACATCATTAGTTGCAACGGATTATAGGCTAATTCAAAAATATTCAAAAAGCAGGTTCGTTTTCTGTGTATTCGTACTAAGTGTTTGATTTTTATAGTTTTTTATTTTGCTTTCTCTTATTTCTTTTTCTTGAAAAAGGTTATTTAACATGACCGAAAACGTTTGGAAGTAATAAACTTCAGCTACAAGTTCATAAAATGTGTTAGTAAGTATTTTGGTATTAATAGTATGCAGTCTCAAACGAATTGAGAAATTATTACAAGTGATTATAAAAAGTTAGTTACTTTTGACAAGTTTTTAACTCTGATCTCCAAAATCCCATAATGTCAGTTAATCTTCAAAGTAGTTCTTTCTTTTTCTGAGATTGTCTAGAAGTTTCTTTTCTAAAAAGGAGGAAACCATAAAACAGAACAAGCTTTTAGCTGTTTGAAAATCATGATGCCCAGCATATTTTGTTGTGCAAAAAATTTTGGACCACGAGTTTTCTCACAGATTAATTGAAAAAAGTGGCCTAGGATTTTTGCTATCACACCTATTCTGACATACAGTAATACCTTCACTTATGCTACCTCGACTTACGCGAACCCGGAGTTACGCTATTTTCAAATCTCGTAGATTCGTCTTTTGTTTGAGCGCCACGCAACTCTTGATTACTCACTCCCCCAACACCATTGTTCAGCTTACATGTTCGAACGTGTTGCGCAGAATCGACACATAGCTACAATTTATTCTGTGTTATTTATTTCTGTGATTGTTATATCTATGAAGATTTGAGAGACTCTATGTGGTGATTTCTCGTAACCGTGAATGAATCAAAAGA